TCAAATGTTAGGCTACTCTATTGCCCTACATTAGTAATAATCTAGCTTATGGCCTGATGATCCGTTCTTTTTATAAATCTATTATATCAATGTCCCTTGGAAGGGACCGTCGGGTGTAAAGGGTTAAGAGAGACTTTTTGGAGAGAAAAAAATTATTCATTCGACTGATGAGCGTCCAGTACTAAGAAATATCATTTCAGGAAGTCCTCTATCGGTCGGTACAGCTTTTTTATTGTCACATGTCAACGTATGTGTTGCAGATCAACTGAAAACAGTTTTTGTTCGCCCAAGGCTAAACATTTAATCGATTTTCAAGACGCTTTCAGCAAGAATCACTTTTATTTTGAATACTTTTATACTATTGTTGCTTCTTAAGGAGAATTCCTTTAAAAATGGCAATTTTTTTATTTGCTATATTGATCGAAAGTAAAAAAATTTTTATTCGACATGTGGTAAGAGTTTTTTTCTACTTGTAGAAATATAGTATAATAGTAAAAGTTCTACGTACACTGTTGAGAAGAGCTAAACATCCGATGCGAAATTATGCTAATTTTACTGAGATCAACTCAGATTTTACTTTAGAGTATTACATATCTACCTGAATGCATGACAATTATCATCGTCATCGATAAATTGTATAAGATAAATAAACAAATACAAACATTCGCTAACACACTGACTTCAAACTTGTTTGACATTGTTAAAACTGGGTACCCATCTTATAACGATAATAAGTAGTTTAAGAACGGTCAACTTATTTTTATTTCTTATTCTAGTGTTAACGTCAAGCCTGGTACTACAACATCAAAACGCAATGTAACCGACGACGAACAATTTGTACGAGTGAAAGATTCTCGAGAACCCAGCGATATGTACGGTGTTTCCCCACCAGAAACAGGTGCTAAAGAGCAAACGCGACCGAGGTAACGTAAAAGTTACTCAAAATAGGTGTATGCTGTAAAAATACGACTGTTGGCTTATTTTCTAGTACCCCACCAACAAGAAGTGCCGCATTCGAAGAATTTAAGCAGACACGTGGCAGTAATTTAAACAAAATTTATCAAGAAAATAAAGGTCGGATAAACTAGTCTTATTATCTGATAGTAACGAAAATGTCCATCTTCTTATAATCATAGATATAATGTCAACTAAAAAGAAACAATTTGCTGAATTAGCACGTCGAATAAATCAGACTAAAGGCGATATTGATAAAACACGAATTGATGCTGAACGAAAAAAGAATGAACGTCTTAATCTGGGTGAGTTTACAAATGAAAATGGTGAAACAATAATTGACGAAGAAGAATATGAACTAATATCAAAACTACAAGAATTAAAAGCGGCTTATCGTGTTGATTTTGATAACTGGAAAATGTTAAAATCAGAAATTGCCTATTGTCAAAATTTAGTAAATCAATGTCAACAACGACTTGTTCAAGGTACAAAAAAATTATAATACAAATATATACATGTTCTATTTCGAAATTTTGTTTTCAAATTAGAATTTGATTCATGGTATAATGATTGTTATTTACCAGCTAATGAGGATAAGACATCAGCAGATGTTGTTGGAAAGTCAAACGAATTTCAAATTTATGTAAGAGGAAGAAATGAGAAGGAAAAACAAAATTAATCTAATATTCAGAATTTAAAATTAACAATTTAAAATTTTATTGTTTTTTTGTAGGAGGATGCCGCCGAACGATTTGAACGTATGCAAAAAGAGTTACTGATGAGTGATTTAGATAGTATGCCGTACAGAGCAGCACAAATGAAAACGAATAGAAGAGTTTGTATTTTGTAAATTTTTACTATTAAACCAGAATATGACGATATTTATTCTTTTTTAGCATGTGTTTAATTCGTCAATTTCACAACCGTTGTATAAAAATGCACCGAATGTTCCGAATGCGACAGGTGGTGGTACATCCTCATCTTCAAATAAACGAGGTGGTGTTGGAGCACCACCTCAAACAGTTCGATAATTAAACGATGACTTTCGTATGTTCTGTATAGAACCCTTCCGTAATATGAGAGAGCATTACCAAATAAACAAGCAAACAGATCATATCTTGGATAATGTAACTAGCAATCTCTTGTAAACAACTTTTTATATAAATCTTCTAGTTGTTTTCTCGATATTTTTGTTTATGGACGCTTCTTCCTTGTTGCACTTTTGACTACATTTTTTTGTTAATAAATTTGTTTTAATTAGAAACTAATTTGATATAAAACTGAATAAAAGAACCTCTTTGAAAATATTTTCATTCAAAATGCGATTAATCAAGTTCAAAAATGAAATGAAAAAATATAAGTCTCTGACATTATCAACGAACACAAACTTGCTGTTCTCATTGATACGTTCATAATTTTATTCAAAAAACTTGATTACCATTTTTCGGCTGAGAATGCTTGAAACTGGAAGTAAACTATTAGTTTTTCATAGATTCTACATAGATATTTCTCAAATGAATCAAGTTAGCATTCACTATCTAAATATACTACTGTTATAATAAAAGAGAAACGTCTTCAATAAGTGAAAATCAAAAGAATTTATTTAATATCTTTCATTCATTCAAAAACTTATTGGGATAATTCAGAAGTCAGAACAATTTTATTTAGTGATGTTTCATTTAACATAGCTATATTTTTAGAAGATAAAAACATGAAAATAAAACGCTTAAAATCTTTTTGGCGTTAAACACACAAATGATGAAGACTGACATTCAAACTTAATAAATTATTTTTCGCTATTATTCTTTACAGTTAATCATCCATGATAGAAAAATATCAGGTTATAATAGAATAACGATTGTCATTGAAGAATAAACTAAATTAACCCAAATAAAATTTTTTATTTCATTTAGATTTTCTCCAGATCCAATTCATCTCGCTATTATTTCGGAAGAATTGGTTGTAAAGCAAAGTGATAACAAATAAAAAAAACTTTCAATACCATTTGTTAATTGAACATGAGGAAATTTGTCCTATCGATTCAGAACGACACCGTTTATAATTAAGGTTTAAAACTGTATTGCTTAACTGTCGAAAGATTTCTCTATTTCTTCCAGTACTTGAAAAGTTTTCTAAGTAGTTAGTCTTGTAGAGCAAACATTTTTCTGAAAAAGACGTCTTCCAGCTCTCCACAGTGTTCTCTAGTAGATGTATGATCGTCTTTTAGAGCCCTCGACGAAGTAAGTTTCACAGTACAAGGTTCCACGTTCAATACTATTTTCAAAATTTTTAGTTTAGTTTTGTTGTGTTTTGGCCATGATACATGTAAGAAGTAGATACACTAAGTTCTACTTGAAACTTGAAATAAAAGACTGTCGTAGGAAAAAAACCTTTATTTTAGTAAATTTTGTAAATGGAATTTCTAATGCTCTAGAATGATTTCTCAGAGATTGAAGTCCTAACAGTGAACTATACTCATTTAGATCTAGTAATATCATCCTGTTGGCTATATGATAAAATTGATCTTTTTTCTCGGTCGGACCGAGCCGGGACCGGTGTAGATCGGTTTAAACCAATCGGTCACCGGTTACATCTCTGCTGCGAGCAACATTGAATCACTTCAAGCGGTTCCAAATGAAAAGACAAATCAGAATTATAATTATAATTAGAGTCTATATGGGGCAGTACATAGTTTTTATATAATAATATTCGAATGAGTTGTGGATTATCTCGAAAAAACCTACATTCAATAACTCACAGTTTTGATTACATACATCAAGTGTGCTGTGATCAATTTCAATTTGTCCCAAATGTTGAATATTAGACGAAGGCTCAGTGCGATTAAACGTGCGAAGAACGAAGAGGTCATCAGCAATTAATGACTGGGGAGAAAGAGAAGATACGTTTGAAAGATTGTTTATAAAAATTGATAACAAAATCGGACCCAATCCGAATCCCTGCGAGACACTGGATATCCAAGATAGACATGAGGATGATACGACATTGAGCGGTGTAGGAGATTTTTTCGATAGATAGGATTTAAACTACTTATAAAAAATTTCTTCAATACCAAGAGTGACTAGTAATGTGAACAAAGCGGGTGGCAGTCATGTGGAAAACTATCTGGTTTTAGTTGCAGTTATCGTATTTCTGTTGATTGTTTCTTGCACTGTCTATTATCGATCAATAAGGCATCCAGGGCAACTAAAATCATTTTGTTAATAATTCAAAGATTTTTTCATGAATTACCCAGGTCGAACGATACGGTCCATATACGGACGGTCTACTGGACGCAGGAATACGGACCGTAACATCATTAAAATAGGGTCGTATACGGCCGTATTTTCACAATATACGGCCTGTAAACGATACCGTTTCTGGGCACAGTAATATGGGGTCGTATACCGTGAAAATACGGCCGTATACGGCCCTATTTTAATGATGTTACGGTCCGCATTCCTGCGTCCAGCAAACGGTCCGTAACGGATATGCGTTTTAGTCGACCTGGGTAGATAAAGAAAATGAAGCGCAAACAAATTGATGATCGTGATCCAGCACCACTATCATCGGTGAAGTAGCTGCTATGGGTGAAGATCCTAGAACTCCCCAAGTCCATATATTGAAAAGTGTAGAAAAAGCTGTATTCGCTAGAACTAAATTACCCTTATCACTCAAATTCAAGTGAATCAGGCTACACGATCGCGAATGGTTGAGCTGGTACAAATAAATGATAAAATATTCGAGCATCAAAATTTTTCAGATCATCGAAGAACACTACAATCTTCACTTCGCACCCTGAGATGTCGCGAATGTTCAATATTGGGTGAACAATTTTCTTACAGTAGTTATCTTTTAGTAGGCAAAACAAGGATTTTCAAAAGTTTTCAACGGTGAAGATGTTTTTATTTAAATGATTACGGAACACTTGCAAGTTTTATCATTTTTCTTTGAAACTATGACATACTTCTAGCGATTAGTCTAAAGATATTGAATACGTTTCGATTAAAAGCCATTCTAGATCACATTATTGCTGCACTTTTAATGGTCTGCATAAGAGCGATCTTCAGGACAAATAGATAATGGCTAAAAGTCATGGTATTTTAACTTACAGAAGCGACTGTTCCTACAAATCTACCGTTGAACAAAAACCTCGAAAGTACTGAACAATTTTGCTTAAGTGCTTACTTTTTATAGATGCCTCGCGTTTAGTATATTCCTATTCTAAAATGTCTGCTAGAGATTTTTTTATTTATGACTAATTATAGCCAGAGAATCTTATTAAAACTCATAGATAATATATAAAGACAAGAATAAAATGAGTTTTTACTACTAAAGTTGTTAACATTTTTAACAAATTCTCCTTTTTCGTTTAACGGTTTTGTTTTCCTATTTATACCAATGAATAAAAATCATCAAAATTTTTAAGAAACATCTGTTTGTACAAGTGGACAGGAATATCAAGATGAGAAGCAAACACACAGCACAGTTTTAAAAATTACATGTAAACAAAATGAAGATGCCACGAATATAATGCACATTGTTTTTACAAAAAATATAAAAGAAAAAGAGAACAACGAAGACAAGACCAACCACAAATAAAAACATGCGTACATTCTTTTTGTAAGCAAAAAAAACAAACGCGCGCAACGTAAAATAGCACACAAACACATTTACTTTACAAAATTCATTTTTTTTTTAGAAATAAATTATTATCGTACACGCATAGCAACGTAGAAAAAAATATTTGATCATTATGTAAAAATGATCAAATTAAGCTCAAACAAAAGAGAGAGAGAAAAAAAAGACGGACTTGCATTTTTAATTATTTCGTTCATTTAAAAAAAAAACGTTTTAAAAGAATTCAAAATGTCTTTAGACCAATAATAAAAAAGAAAATAATAAACAAGAAAACAAAACTACCATCATCGATCAAAAACAGAAAGAGATTGATTAATCAGAATTCTTTTTATCTATGCTTCACTGCTATGTTTCAATGTTCTCAAATCATCTTTATTTTCAATATCAGACTTTTTATTGTTATGTACACTATCATATATTTCATCATCATCTTCTAAGTTTAAATGGGCGCTTTGTGCTTCTATTGACATCGATATTGTATTATTTGAATTAGAACGTGTTTGTAATTGTTGTTTTTGTATAGATGATGATGATTGATGTTCGATAATTTCACTAAAAAATATTAATACTTTAGATTATTGGAAAGTCTCTAGATTAAAAATAACTTACTCTATTTCACTGTCATTATCATTATCATCACTATCGATATCATCATTCTCTGTATTATTTTCATTCTCTAATTCATCATCTAAACCCCATTTTTCTTCTACAACGGTTGCCACGTGTAATTGTCTTGCATTACTGTTCAATGAAATAGGTGCATGTGATGGAGTTTTCATTGCTTCATCTAGATCGGTAATAGACGACGGCTGTTGCGCCGATGAGAATGCCGTACTAGTAACGGCAGCTAATGCTGCTGATGGCGATTGATTGATTGAGAAGGTTAATGGTCTATTGTTAGTTGTAGTCAAATTCGTAAATTTTGTGTGTGATTGTTCTTGTTGCTGCTGTTGCTGTTGTTGTTGTTGTTGTTGTTGTTGTTGTTGAGACGACATGGATAAATGTGATTCTGAACCATAACCAAGCGACTCAGATGAATGAACAGATGTCATTGATACAGATTCATTCAAATCAAATGTGGGATTTGAACGTGAAAATTCACTAACTGTAAAAACAAAACAAATTGAAACCATTTTATTAAAAAAAAGTGTAGTATGAAATGTAAGAACAAAGGCATCATTTTCATTGTTCATATCACACGTGAAAAATGTGGTAGAAGAGCGTTGTTTACACTATTGCATCTTCATGTCACTTTATAGTAAACGTAATAGTATCTACCATTTATTCAGTTAATTCTTAAATAGTTATTCAAACTTACTTGATGGCGTTACGGTGGCAACACTACTAGAACTATTATTTCGTCGAAGATCTGGATCATTCAAATAGTCATTTGAATCACCAATTTCAACACTTTGTAAACGAAAATGTTCTCGAAATAGAGTGTTATTTGAATGTGATGATGGTTGAGCAATTCGAATCGATTTCTAAATAAAAATCACTAAAATAGTGAACAATTATCTTTTTTTATTCTTTTTTTACTATACCATGGCTGATGATAATTGTTCACCGAGTTGATTAACCAGTGGCCCTAAGGACTGAGTTGATATAGACGATAATTTTTTTTCTGTAGCAGCTTTTGTTTGAATATCATTGATTATTTGAATGAGTTGGTTATCTATAGAAAAATAATAGATAAAACTATGTCAAATTACAAGCATAAAACATACGATAGCTTGTAGCACATGCCAATGCATTCATACAATCATTATTGGTATCAATTCTGGAATAAATGGATGCAATCTAAACAAATTTTATAAAAATAATAATTCATTACTACAAAATTCTAAATAACACATCACATACATATCCTGGTGTTGTGTCGTTGATTCGTTCTCCAGGAATGTTAAGTAAACGTGCTAGTAACATTTCTTTTTCTTTCAAAAGACGTTTAATATCTTTATCTTTTTCTATTATAACATCTAAAGAATAAAAATAATGTGTATATAAACAGATACAAAATTGACAGTACTCATTTTTATACTTATTAATGAAGTGGGATTATCTTCTACTAAAGTTAATTGTCCACTTTTAACTTGATTAGGTTCAACTAAATGTATCGGTTCTTCAATAATTGCTGATCTAAAATTGTAAAAATATTTTTTATTCTACTATATTAATCTCTTCATATTTTATTACCTTGTTGTCAAAGATGTTGTTGCTGTTTGTACAAGTTTTTCATTGACATTTACTATTTTTTGTTTTTCAAATGGTTTTCGTGCTTTTTCTATTCGTTCTATCCATCTTCAAATAGAAGAAAATGGTTAATCAATTTAATCAAAAGATAAACTATTAAACATGTTATACATACTTTTCTAAATCATCTTTTGAATTTGCTTCAACTTCGATTAACTGTTTTTTATCTGTATCAATAACATAGAATGATCTGGCACCTAAAAAATAAAATGATATACATGAGAATTCTTTCTATACATGATTATAGTATATTATTATTAAAAAAATTTACCTCCACAAGCTTTTTTCTTGATTAATAAATGATCAAGACGTATGATGGGTGTTAAAATAAAATTTTGTGATTGTTGAAATTTGGCACCAACCGGTTTTGGTCGATTATGTCTTCCATTTGTTGCATCACGTTGATGTTCTTTCAATATATATCTATATGATTCTTCAATACCACGTTGTTCAGATGGAATTAAAATTTTTTGAAAAAATACAAATATATCATCGAATAGACAACATTCAAATTCTGTTTTTTGTAATTTATCATCGGGTAATAATTTTAATGTTCCACTATGAATTAAACGATTATTTGTTACTTCCAAACAATCCTAAAATAATAGTAAAAAATAACAAATGATATCATCCGAATTATTAAATATTTCAATCATTTATTCACTTACCGATAAATGTGTTGCATCAAGTGATGGTACTTGAACATCTAAATTTTGTTTAATTTGTTTTAATAATATTTCTTGTTCTTTTTTTAATCGTGCAACATTCATATGACGAAGAATACTATCAGCACATTCGGCACATTTACTTAATTTTTTATTTTCAATTGAATCTATAAAAAGTAACATGAAGATAGACTATTTTAAATAAGATAAAAATAAATATATTTTTACCATCACAAAATTTTAACATTGATTCAAACAACATTTTATACTTTGTAAAACGGGTCATTATCGATGGTAAATAATCTTTTAATGTCAATCGTCGACATAGAGGATTTAATTCACAACTCTACAAATATAATAGAAGAACAGATAAAATAAATTTAAAGAGAATTTTAAATTTTTTGTTTTTATTACCCTCATTAATGCTGCAAATTCTGGTGATTGTTCTTTTTTCTTAATAAGTTTTAACGCTTGAGATTGATCTTCGATAAAATAGGCACACGCTTTGGCATATTGTGCACCTTTCTCACCGTCAAGCTAAATAAAATTAAAAAAAAAAGAAAATAGATCAAATATGTTGGAAAAAATATTCAATATCAGTGTCATCATTCAACTTATTTATACGTACAAATTTTAATACTAGATCACCAATTTCTCTAACAACATGGTTTTCTGCTTGTTCACGATGTTGTCTTAATGCAATTTTAAATTGACCTTTAAAAAAAACCAAAAAATCATAAATTCTAAAATAAAAGATTGATTTTATAATAACATACTGTGTAATTCAATTAATTGATCAAGATTTCGAAATATACAATCTAATTCTACTGGTGACATGCCAGGAAAACGTTCCATTGGCTCTTTAAAACATTTTCTCATAATTTTTAAACTTTTTAAATGTGTTCGTTCAGTATGAATTAATTCATTTATTGTTATTTGTAATTTAATTTCTTTTGCTTTTAAATGTTTGAATGCACTATCTGGTATAATATCATCTTTTAAATTTGGTAATGTATTTACATCGGCATCTAAATCTGAATCACCATCTGTTCCACTACTAGCGGCGGCCAGAATTGATTCGTGACTTAATGTATTTACAATTAAATCTGACGTATTGGGTCTAAAGAAAAACAATAATATTATTTTTATCGAATATAGTACAAATTAACGGTGTATTATCGTTGAATAGACTTTTTAAGGTAGATGTATCCATTTTGATTAAACATGAACAGTTTAAAGAATACACGTGTCGAAGATGAGTAAATATAATATTGACTGTTTCTTGATATGTTACTAATCATGGTGGATGACATAGTTTTATTTTAGATATTTATTAGATGATGATGATAGAGATGGAATTGTGAGAGATGAATGGATATGGTGATGACCATCAAAACGAATCAAATGGTTTTTTTTACACATAATGGTGAATAGAAAAATTTAATGCATAAACACAGGAAGCACATGACACTTTAAGAGATAAAGGGAAAGTAATATGAAAAGGGCTTTCAATAGTTTTTTGGCCGAGATAGGAGCTAAACTTCTGGCTAAAAGCGGTAAACGAAGATCCTACAGAAAATGACCAGTAAGAAAACAAAAACGTTTTTATTAAACTTATACGTTACACCCAATGATACAACCAGGTTTTTCTTTGATGCTCGCGCAAATCTCCACTGAGACTGAGTCAAATAGAAAGGTAAAAAACTAAGAGGATGGCTTACCTACACTCCGTGCTGATCAGAATCACTGAGTGTAGTGATAGATGATATTTGTTCTCTTGCTTTAGTAAAGACTAACTGAGAGATCATTCTCGTGCATATTTTACTTCTAAAAATGATCAGTGTGAAAAAAATGAAAAATACTTAGACTATAACGATCATTTCCTGTGCAAAATTTTGTTGATGAGTCACTGTTATCTGTGTTTATTCTAGCCAAATTTTCTGTAAACTAACTCTAGCTCTACAGCATGACTGAGTGATTTCCGAAGAGTTTAAAGCATAGTCAAATAACTCACTAAAAACTATTGAAAATAAACTAGATTCTCCATTTATATAAAATTATGAAACATAGTCTATTTAATGTTTGTATATCTGTTCTATGTGACTTGAGCAAAAAAAAATGGGAGGAGGTTGAGTATCTTGTATTTTCTAACTAAATGTGACTATTTTTAAAACAAATGATCATCTATCAACAAAGCCAAAATGTTTATATACGCATAGAGACACAAAATTCATTCAGAATTGGTTGTAAGAAAACAGACAGCATAAAATGAAAAATAATTTGATCTTACTTGTAAAAAAAGAGGAGAAAATGTGTATACACAAAATCAGATGCGACCACTGTGATGGTAAGACTCTAATTAGTAGTTGTAAGTTATTAGTGTTATTTACATTATACTGTACGATGAAGATGAGGAAACAAAAAACATAAAACAATAACTAAAACATTCTTCAACTTATTAGTGTATTTTAGTCAATTAAGGCAAAAACTCACTAACAGAAATAAAAATAGATACAGGTAGACATAAGATATCGAGTTAAAATATGAAAAAAAAATGAAGAATCTATATTTTGTTTAAATAATGCTAATTAACCTTTTTTCATCTTTTGAAAATCGCCCTATTCTTCTTATACGTCTTTCTATTCAACCTCTTTTCTCTGTCATATATTTCATACTGAATACTATTGATTTTCAAAGAGCGTATGAATATATATCAGAATAACATTTGTTCATGAAAGAAGGATAATCGCCTCATGTCTAATAAACAGTTCATATCTTTTTTTTCTATGATATATTCTTATTTCTTGTATAATGTTAATATTTTCTCAACTATGAAAATTTTAAAAATGAATGACTACTGTTACACAATACTTACTTGGAATTTGGATCCTGATTATCGTCCGGTAGTTGATTGAGAAATTCATCAACAGTACGATCTCCCAATTGAGGATTACTAAAAAAGAACGATAATAACACGTAAGTTTACAAAATAATATTAGTTCAAAGGAAGAACAACAAATTTTATTTATCATATTTCTTGTTTTTAACATTAGAAACAAAAATAACGTTAAGTAGATAATAAAGCAATCACTCATTTTCAGCGATAACTTAAAACACAATAATCGGATTCAAATCCTATATTCTTGATGAAATAAGTTGATGTCAATGTTTTGTATTTCGAAATGAGAAAACAGGTTGGCTTTGCTATGCATGCAAAAATCATTGTGCATTTTTTTTAACTGTATTTAAAGATAAAAAAAATATAATCAAAAGCAACATTCCAAATAACGTTTTTAGTCTATGCTGCATTGTGTATTTTAATGCAAATCAAATGACTGATTTACATGCAAGTGACAGATAATTACAACCTCTCGTAAGAATTAAAAGGGTGATCATATAATCTTACCCTTCAAATTATTAATACAATCTGTTATAACAGGTGTCAGAAAAGCTTTTGCATAAAATATCGACAGCTTTTTCTCCATTTTAAAATAGTCTCTAATTTAGCCGAAGAAGTGTTTTATGAGCTACAAAATCGGGCTTTTCGAATTAGAGATGGCACATTACTGTTACTGTTACCAGCAATATATACAAATATTGTATATATTGCTGTTGCTGGTAGCCGTAATCTTCCATGTATTCTTATTACTAGTAACAGTAATACTGAACAGTATTTCTATTCTCAGCAACAGTAATACTGGAAGTATTACTGTTGCTGAGAATAGAAATATTCATAAAATTAGTATTAC